TACATGCACATACGAACTTCTTAAAGTAGGTTGTTAACTAAAATATGTTATGAGGTTGTTAATTCTATGTCAATTAATTTTTCTTTATGGCAATTATTAAACCTTATTCTGTCTTCTTACAGTTATATTCCATGTCAACAATTATTTTTATTTCATCTTAATCAAATGGGTAGAGGTTCTCATTAATCATTAATGGTCATATTCTTATTCGTCAAATATGAAAATATATTCGTGTGCATTTTTAGTATTGAGGAGTGCTCTTACTAATTGTGTTTTTATTTTTATCCTTCTGTCTTAGATTTCTTTAATTTTGCTTCTCAAGCAAATACTTTTTTTTTTTTTTTTTTTTTTTTTTTTTTTTTTATCCTTTTGTCTCATATTTCTTTAGTTTTGATTCTCAAGCAGATACTTAGGTTGGAAGGTCTTTCCCTTGCAATTATTTATTAGTTCCCTACTTTCTTTCTTGAATTATAGTAGGTTAATTAATGAACTCTCTCAGATTTCTTTAATGCTTTGGAATTTTCATGTTTGGTCTTGGAATTTTCAATAATTAGATTAAACATTAAGCTTTTAATGTTTGGTTTAATAAAAAAGTCTAATATAGTGTGTATAGTTATGTATCTTGGTATATAGCTGTTTAATTTCTAGAGAATACTTATGTCTTTCTTCTTCTTTTTTTTATAATAGGAATGTATGATGAATTATGTGAATACTTACGTTTTTTTTTTTTTTTTTGAATAATGATATACAAGTTCATTTTTCATATCCACTTCATTTTTTGGGGGATTTCTCTCTCTCTCTCTCTCTCTCTCTCAGTTTGGTTGTTGATTGTTGAGAGAGAGAGAGGGGAAAAGGAAATTTGAATCTTATGCATTGTTGTTTGGTATCTGAGAAAATGAAAAGGAAATTGAAAGTTTTAACTATCTTCACTGTTTCACGGCTTATAAAACATATAATTAAAAATAAATAAATAAATATAACTTTTGAATGGACAATATGAAAAAATGGGTGAAGGAAATATATTTGTAATTAAATAAGCTACTGTGTTGTATAATTTTGTTAAGAGTATTGAAAAAGGTATTTGTAATTGTATAGATAAGGCAAAAGATATTTATACTTATCCAGTTATAGTGTGGTGAGACTTTTTATAAATTTTTATTATAGTCTTTTACTCTTCTTAATTTTCACATTTTAAAATGCAAAATTAGTAATTAAATTTCTATATTGAAGTTTTGTTAATTTTTTTTTTATAAGTACTATAATTTATATTTTTTTATAATTTATTTAGTTACTTTTTTTTTGGTGGTATACATTAGTTGTTAGTACGAAAAGTGAGCAATACAATCCATAAGAACTTAACTGTTGTCAATGCAAAATTACTATATAGAATCAACCACAAAATCATTTATTGCGATAGTTTTACATTTTGGCCAATAGAGAAAAATGATGAAGATTTCTATGACAGTATTTAAATTTTCTTCTATCCTTTTTAATGTATATTGAAGACATAAAAAAATTATAATTTGCCTTCAATCCTGTAGTAGTTCAATTTCTCCATCTGTGATATACATGTACTTACGAACTTCTTAAAGTAGATTATTAACTAAAATATGTTATGAGGTTGTTAATTCTGTGTCAATTAATTTTTCTTTATGGCAATTATTAAACCTTATTCTGTCTTCTTACAGTTATATTTCATGTCAACAATCATTTTTATTTCATCTTAATCAAATGGGTTGAGGTTCTCATTAATCATTAATGGTCATATTCTTATTCGTCAAATATGAAAATATATTCGTGTATATTTTTAGTATTGAGGAGTGCTCTTACTAATTGTGTTTTTATTTTTATTCTTCTGTCTTAGATTTCTTTAATTTTGCTTCTCAAGCAAATACTCAGGTTAGGAAGTCCCTCCCTTGCAATTCTTTATTAGTTCCTTGCTTTTTTTTTTGAATTACAGTGGGTTAATGAATGTTCTGGATTAATGAATGAACTCTCTCAGATTTCTTTAATGCTCTGGAATTTTCATGTTTGGTCTTCAAATTTTCAATAATTAGATTACACATTAAACTTTTAATGTTTGGTTTAGAAAGAAGTCTAATATAGTGTGTATAGTTATGTATCTTGGTATACAACTGTTCAATTTCTACAGAATACCATTTTTTTTATGTATTTATGTATTTTTATAGTTGGAACTTATGATAAATTATGTGAATGCTTATGTCTTTCTTCTTTTTTTTTCAATAATGATATACAAGTTCATTTTTATACCTATTTTATAGACCCAATGATGTGTCAAGAAAATGTGGGTGAGAGTGAGATAATATTTAATTATCAACCAGACCTCTTCTTGACATATCACTGGACCTATAAAATAGGTCTAACTTAAAAGATTTTGTTACAAGTTTATTTTTTAAAAAAAATTTCAAGTTCATATTTAATTATCAACCAGTCCTCTTCTTACAGTTACAAGTTCTTCTTTTTTTTTTACAAACATTTTGTTACAGTTTAATTTTGTAATATGATAGGTCTTTTTTTTTTTTTTTCCATCATCTCTCTTAGGCTGTATTTGGATTTAGGATTTGAAACGAATTTGTTGATTGAAAGGAAAATGGAACATTAAAAAGTTAACCCTTTTAATTTGATGACCCTTATTTTTTTTCTTTTTAGTGAACTGTTTTTAGTTTGGTTTTTTATTGAATTGCTATTTTAAAATGTTTAGGCTTCTCTCTCTTTAAAAAGAGTCCAGTTTATTTAGCTTTTTCAATTTTGTTTTTGGAATTTTTCAAACAAAAAAAAAGTCTTTTTAGATGTTTATCAGGACTTTTGAAAAAACTTAAACTTATTTTAAAATTTTGTTGTAATAATTTTTTAATGATTTTTATGAGAGTATTACTCCTTGGAGTAAATAAGCTATCATGTAATATAATTTTTTGTGATGTGTATTGAAAAAGACATTTGTAATTATATAGATAATACAAAAGGTATTTGTAATTTTCCAGTTACAGTATAGTGAGTCCTTTTATATATTTTTATTGTAGTTTTTTTACTTATTTTGTTTTCACATTTTAAAATGCAAATTTAGTAATTAAATTTCTGTAATTAAGTTTTGCTAAAATTTTATTCATTAGTATAATTTATATTTTTTTATAATTTACTTAGTTGTTAGTAGGAAAAATGGGCAATACAATCCATAAGAATTAACCTTTGTCAATGCAAAGTTATTATATAGAATCAACCACAAAATCATGTATTGCAATAGTTCTACATTTTGGCCAATAGAGAAAAATTATGAAGATTTCTATGAGAGTATTTAATTTTTCTTCTATCCTTTTTAATGCATATTGAAGATATAAAAAAATTATAATTTTCTTCTATCCTGTAGTAGTTCAATTTCTCCATCTGTGATATTCATGCATAATTTAACTTCTTAAACTAGGTTGTTAACTAAAATATGTTAGGAGGTTGTTAATTTTGTAGCGATTAATTTCTCTTTATGGTAATTATTAAACCTCATTTTGCCTTCATACAGTTATCTTTGTCAAATTTATATAACCAGGCACTTTTAGGTTGAGACACCATTGACCTTCAACTGCTAATTATGGACAACATTACTATTTTTGGTCACGTAATTTGTTTTCTTTTTTATTTATTTGAAAAAAAAAACATTTTTCTTATAAGCAAAATTCAATTTTCTTTTCTTTTCATTATTTTTTTATCTAATTCCTTATAACAAAATGCTCTTTTCTTAAATTTACAGATGGATGGAGACTTACGTCGAACTGTAATATTGACTCCATTTACTCATTTTCTTACATGTATAATTTTTTTATTTTTTTTTACCTCTAATTCTTTTGTATTTCTAGGCCCAATTTCTTCAAGAAAGAAATGTTAATGTTGTTATCCGTGATGAGCGTGACCTTAATGTCATCCGTGTTCGAGAGGTAGGCCCAATTTAATTATATAGATTTTTTTGTTTCAAAACACCGTATACACCGTATATTCTTATTTATATATTTTTTAAAAACTTTCTACATATATTTTTTTATTTTTTGTAGGCAAAGGAAAAGGAAATTGCCAAGGCATTGTTGAAGAAAAACGAAAAGACCACTGTTTCGAGCAAGGGAAAGGAAAATACATGTTCAACAGTATGGCTCTTCAACATTTCCATTTAAAGTTCTTTTTTTGAAATATTTATTTTGGACCATGAACCTTGATTATTTATTTATTTATTTTTAAATGTAAAATTGGCATACTACTTGCACAGTGACATATACTGTTTTTATAGTAAACAGTTTCATATAAATTTGTGAAATAATTTTTTTGAAGCATGCTAAAATAGCATTTGTACAAAAGCATTATATTTGTTTTAAATTATTATTATTCTTTTTTGGCTTTTTGCTATTGACATGAACATCTACAAGAGAAGAAAAAAGGAATAGAACAAAAAAGGAATGAAGGGGGGGAAGGATACAAAATGAAAAAGTTTTCAATTTTTTTACAAAATATCAGAAAGAAAGGGAATTAAGATAAAGTAAATTAATAGAAATGAAAAATGAAGAGAAAAGTAGATGATAATATTCATATTTTAGGCATCTTATGAAATTAATCTTCATGTTTTAGGCACATAACAATAATGTTATATCGAAAGCTGCATTGGCTCAACGTGTATGGCGAGAACGCGAAAGAAATGATAAGGCAAGCTCTTCATATCAATTGGGACAACGTTCGCAACGTGAACGAGAGAGATCGAGAGAATTGATTCCACCAAGCACAACTAATACTCCACCGGCTCAGAAAGGAGTAATGTTTACACATCTTACTTCGTCAAGCACATCTTTAGCTTTACAAAGGAATTGGTAAAACATTGTATTTAATTCTACAAATGCATATTCTTATTGTTAAGATTTTATTTTATAAATTTTATTTTGTACACAACAAATATTTGTAGGCCTACTCATGCAAACCCATTCCTCCATGAGACTAAGAATATCGGTGTTGTTGTTCGCGATGAGTGCAATCTTAATATTATCCGCAATTCTAAGGTAAGTAGAAAAATCAAGTTCAACATATTATTTTTTCGTAATCTTAATAAATTCTATAAATACGTGTTCTTTTTTCGTATTCTGATTATTTTTTTTTTTTTTTTTTTTCATATTCTGATTAAATTTTTTTTTTTTTTTTTTGGTAGGCAAAGGAAAAGGAAAAGGAAAAGGCCAAGGCAATGTCTAAAGGAAAAGAAAAGGCAACTTTTTTTGACAAAGGAAAGGAAAACGCATGTCCAATGGTATATATTCAACATTTTAAAAAAAATATTATTGAGTAAAACAAAGCCAATCATATTGTTAAAGTGAACATTGATCATGTATGTTTTTCAAATTTTAAACTGTATTGTTAATTTTTTTTGTGTGCTCTTTGTTTTCTGTACACTCAAACAAAGTATATTTAGCTCTCTTTAACATTTCCTAAAAAATAATTGTAACCTTTATAAACTCCAAGAAAAACTTTATAACATCTAAGTAAAGGAACAGAGAAACATAGGCATAGAAAATATTTTTAATTTTCTTAACATTATCATGAGGCAAGAAGAAAGAGAAAACAATAATTAAAAAACAAATTGTTATATCACAAGGCATGAATAGGGAAAATGAAGCAAAATGGAAAAGGAAGTAGGACAAAGAAAATATAAAAATATTCTTAAAATTATCACAAGGCAAGAAGAAAAAGTAAAATATAATTAAAATAACAAAATTATTGAATCAAAAAATAAAATAGTATACGATAATATTTGTATTTTAGGTATCAATGATATAATGTTCACATTTTAGGCACACAATAGCAATGTTATATCAAAAGCCACATTGGCCCAACGTGCACGGCGAGAACGAGAGAAATCAAGAGAATGTATTCAATTGAGACAAACTTCTTTAATACCGTGTTGTCGTAGTCGTACTTGCTTGGAACTAGGAACAAAGGCAACTGAGGATACTCAGTCTGCACAAAAACGAACAATGGTTGCACATCCTTCCACATGTTCGTTCTCAATGCCAAGCACGTCTTTAGCTCCACAAATGAATTGGTAAAAGATTGTGTTTAATTCTTCAAATACATACTCCTACTATTACCATTCTATTTTAATTTACACAAAACCAATATTTGTAGGCCTACTCTTATAACTCATTCACTTCAAGAGGATCTATGTACTAATGAGGAATTAGAGGATATGCATGTGAGTCCAATGGTTAATACTCGAGCACATATAAATTCACGTCGTCATTCTCTTGGCAAGATGGATGTATTATGTCCTTTCTGTTCAGCATTACATTGGATGGATGAAAAATTAGTAAAATCATCTCCAAATCGTCCTCTATTTGGAACATGTTGTTCAAAAGGGAAGGTTAAGCTTCCTCCGTTTATTACACTCCCTTCACTTCTTCAAGCATTATATGATGGGAATGATGATAAATCAAAATCATTTCGACATTATACTCGAGTGTACAATGCAACAAATGCTTTTACAAGTCTTGGTGCTACATTAGATCCAAGAGTACTTACTGGAAGAGGCCCTACATCATTCACTATCCATGGGGAATTGCGACATCAAATAGGATCACTACTACCACAATCAGGGCAAGATGCAGCTTATGTACAGTTGTACATTTATGACCCTAATTCAGCTTTAGAAGTTCGCAATCGTAGAAATCCTCAATTAAGAAGAGATGGTCTAAAAATTATTCAAGATAGTTTATTACAGGTTAATGCATTCGTTGCTAAATTTCGCCAGGCTCATGCAATTTTAAATCAATTAGCCTTGACAGGACGAAATTTGCCTGCTCATCTCCACTATAGTTCATCGACAGATCGACAATGGTATAACCTACCAACTACAGATGAGATTGCAGTTGTAATACCAGGTGATGGAACCAAGGTTAGTGGAATGAGAAATGTTATCTTACATCTACAAGGAAATAGTGAGCTAATGCAAATCAATGAATGTCACCCAGTATATTTGCCATTACATTATGTTTTATTATTTCCACATGGTGAGCTTGGATGGGAACCTGAGATGAAACTGTGGGATGTTCAACATGATTGGCCTTCAACTGATCGGCTTACTCAAATGGATTTTTATAGTTATCATTTGTTTGAACGACCCACAGAGTATTCAACAATTTTGAGAGCTGGAAAATTGTTCCAAGAGTTTTTGGTTGATGCTTGGGCCGCAACTGAACAAAATAGGTTGACTTACTACAAGCTTAATCAAGGAAAAATTCGTGCTGAACTTTACCAAAATTTGATAGATATTGATCCAAATGACCTTCAGCCCAATCAAATTGGTCAAAGGTTTGTTTTGCCATCTTCATTTCCTGGAGGTCCTAGACACGTGTTTGAAATCTTTCAAGACTCAATGGCTATCACACGATACAACCAACATCCAGACATTTTTCTCACCATGACTACAAATCCTAATTGGCTAAAAATTACTTCAGCATTATTACCGCACCAAAAGCCTATTGATCGTCCTTATTTAATTGCCCGTGTTTTTGAGTTAAAGAGAAAGTGCTTGATGAAGGAGATAGAAACAAACTGAGTGTTTGGTAATAAAGTTGCGCATGTTTTTACAATTGAATCCCAAAAATGAGGCCTTCCTCATACGCATGCACTTCTATTTCTTAAGGGTCTAGACAAAATTCGGACATGTGCTCAAGTAGACAAATTGGTTTGTGCAGAATTTCCAGATCCAAAAGATGAACCTATGCTTTTTGAAACTATCAAGTGTTGTATGGTACATGGACCATGTGGTGCTCAAAATTCACAAGCACCATGTATGGAAAATGGTAAATGCACTAAGAGATACCCTCGAGCGTTCGCAGAAACAACTACTATGGATCAAGATGGATATCCTATCTATCGTCGTCGCAATAATGGTCAAGTTCATATTGTAAGGGGGAAAGAAGTTGATAATAGAGACATTGTACCATACAATGTATATCTTTCTAAACGTTTCAACTGTCACATAAACGTAGAAGTTTGTGCCGGAATGAGATGTGTCAAGTATATACACAAGTACATTTACAAGGGTTATGATCATACAACGATGGTGTTGGGATTGATAAATGAGATCCAACAATATCTCGATGCGAGGTATATTGGACCTCCAGAAGCTGCTTGGCGAATATCTGGTCATCCATTGCATGCTGAGATACTAACAGTTGTACGCTTAGAACTTCATTTACTTGAAATGCACCGCGTTCTTTTTAATCCTGATGAATCATTAGAAGCAATTGTTTCTAGAGCTAGCCAACAAATGTCAACCCTTACTGGTTTTTTTGCATGTTGCTCTTCTATGGAAGATGAATGTTCATTCACTTACCAAGAATTTCCACAACATTTTGTTTGGCTTAATTCAGAAAAGAGATGGAAACTAAGGCAGCAGGGCTATGCAATCAGTAGAATGTACTTTGCTAGCCCTAATTGTGGTGAGAGATTTTATTTACGTTTGCTATTAACTGTTGTCAAAGGACCAAAATCGTTTCAGTGCTTACGTACGATCAACAATGTTTTGCATGATACGTTTAAATTAGCATGTGTTGCAAGAGGACTTTTAGAAGATGATGAAGAACAAATACAATGCCTTAAAGAGGCTGCTGTTATGAAAACTGGTTATCAATTAAGGAGATTGTTTACTATTATTCTTACTCAGTGCTCTCCACTGCAACCATATGCGTTATGGAATCAATTTTCAATGCATATATGTGATGATCTTGCACATAAGATTCGAACATTTTTTGCCATTTCTGAACCAACTGAGGCTCAAATTGAAGACTATGGTCTATATCTTTTGAATCAAATGCTCCAAGAATCTGGCAAAAGTTTAATTGACTTCCCGCCAATGCCACAACCTTCTACAAATTGGAGTGCAGTAGTTGGTAACAGGTTGATATTTGAACATTAACAACTGCAGAATGAGGCACAACAGGCAGATGCAGAAATTATTATTGATCGCATCAACAATGATCAACGAACAGCTTATGATGCAATCACTTCCTCAGTCTTTGAAAATAAGGGAACTATTTTCTTTTTGAATGGAGGTGCCGGAACAGGGAAAACGTTTTTGTACAATGCGATTGCATTGAAGTGTCGCAGCGTTGGCCATATTATTATTACTATGGCTTCATCTGGAATTGCATCATAGTTATTGGTAGGAGGTCGTACTGCTCATTCAACATTTTTCATTCCGTTGGATGTATTGGAAAATTCAATTTGTGGATTTAGCAAGCAATCATTACAAGTAGAATTGTTTAGAGAAACAAAACTTATAATCTGGGATGAAGTCCCTATGCAGCATAGACATTGTGTTGAGGCAGTTGATCGCACACTTCGGGACACTTGTGATAGTGAAAAGCCATTTGGGGGTATCACTATTGTTCTTGGTGGAGATTTTCGACAAATCTTACCAGTTATAACCAAAGGAGTCCGTGAGCAAATTGTGAATGCATCATTAAAACACTCTTTTCTATGGAAGGATATACATGTTCTGTCTTTAAATTTGAACATACGCTTGAATCATGCAAATCTTGGAAATGTTAATTTTGCAAAATTCTTGATAGAGGTAATATTTTTTCAAACTTTTTCTCTATTATATGGTTCTTTTAAATTGACGAAATATATTTACGTTTATGTACTTTAATTGATTTTACTTACTATTTTATTTATTTATTTTTATAAATAGATTGGGACCAATCCTCAAGAAATTGTTAGACTTCCATCAACAATACACAAATGCCAAGATCTAAAAGACATAATCTCAGTAGTTTATCCGCAACTGGATGTGGCAATGACATCGACTCCAACATTTTTAACTGAACGTACAATTCTTTCTGCATGGAATGATGATGTGAGTGCCATCAATGCTGTAGCATTGAATATTTTTCCCAGTAACACACATACTTATTTGGCAGCTGACAAGATGTCTGAAGATGATGAAATTGATCGTACTATAATAAATAAATATCCTAATGAATATTTAAATTCATTAGATCCTCTTGGGCTACCAGCTTTTAAGCTAGAGTTGAAAGTGGGTTGTCCTATAATGTTATTAAGAAATATTACACCAAAAGATGGACTGTGCAATGGCACAAGATTGATGGTTTCTAGATGCAATACTCGCATAATTGAAGCTCAAATTTTAACTGGAGAAAAATGTGGCAATTTGGTATTCATACCAAGGATATCCTTGACACCGTCTTCTTCAGAAATGCCTTTCCGAATGACAAGACGTCAATTTCCAGTTCGATTGGCATA